AAATAAGATAATTATTTAATATTTAATATTAAAAAAACTGGACCGGGCCAAACTAATTGGTCCAAAAGAGCAGTCTCCAGTCTAGTCTAACCCGTTTGTGTAGTCTAACCCGTTTAGTCCAGTCTTTTATTCGGGTTCATTTTTTTTAGGACTGGGTCAGACCGGGTCACACCGGGTCGAACCAAACAGACCGGGTCTGAAGTTTTTTTGTTCAGCCCTAGTATTGATCATTAGTCTCGAAAGGATTAACAATTTTCAGCCACACATCTGTAGTTTTTTTCCCCCAATAATAGAGGATATGAATTGAAGAGTCATTTATTAATAATATTCTGAATTGAGATATTTAACATATATAAGGATTTGTGATCAATACCTTGCCTTTGTTATTTTTGTCTTTCTTTTTCTCGTACACTTAATTAAATTCATTGAAGACTTGTGCAACTTTCAATTTCCACTTGTTCATTTTCTCATGATCATACATACCGCCAGCCACTCGATAGGACCACATCTCCTCGATGAAAAATTCCAGTTATTAATTATACATAGTGATTTTTATTTTGTTATCCTGATCGAACAGTACAAGTATTATTAATTATGAATATTATAAAGGTAGAGGACAAGTGTTATTTAATACTTTTAAAATATAATTACAAAATATATTGTTTTCGCTTATGATATTTTAAATACTGAACATAATTTTGTTGCTGGCCCAAAGGGAAACTTTAGATAGCTGGAATGGGAAATATTTTTGACGAATTATTAAAAAATTAAATTAAATTAAATAGCTGGAATCGGGGGAAATATAAGGACACAAATATCACTGACAGAGTAGGTTGAATAAGAGAAGCATACAGGGATGGGACCATGAACTGAAAAGGCCACATTCAGCATGCCATGCCGGGATCTCACCTGCCTCCTCAAATATTGCATTGGGACTTGTTACCTTTTACCTAATATTTTTAATTAATTTTTAAATGCTTTGATTTTCATTACATTTTATAATCTCATTTTTATTATATTTTAGGGAGAATCATGTTCAACCCCTACCAAAAAAAAATTAATTATAAATAAGTATTAACAATAAGTCTTATTCAATAAAACATATGTCATGTTTTCATTTTAATAATAATTTATTTTATATTAATTTTATCTATGATTAATTCTTTTGAGAGAGGGTTAAATGTGATTTTTTTTATATTTTAAGACAAAAAAAGAATTTTTTATTTTATTTTTACAAAACTTATCATTGTTTTTTATTACAAATATTTCCTTTATTCATATTAAATAATGGAGAGAAAAAATATATTAGTAAAATTTATATATTGAATAAAAGTAAAATTTAAAATTTTTAAATTTTTAAAGAGAATTAATGAGTTTTAATTATTTTAATTTTGATAAAACATGTTAAAAAGTATATTTATTAAACTAAAGCCAACCTAAATCATGTTGGTTCAGGTTAGATTGGACTAAGAACAAGTGCCAATCAAAATCAATCGTATTGATCTTTATTTTTAATATAATGATCCAACTTCTAATTTTATTATATCAGATTCAAATATTATCCGACTAACTTGGAAATAGTCCTCCTAAAAACATTTTTTAAATTGACATAGATTAAAGGGTTAAAAGGCAAAAATGTCCTGAAACTTGTTTTCTAGAAGCACTTAACACTCAAAATTTTTTTGAAGTATTTCTGTTCCAAATTTTTCAAAAAGAGAGCATTTTTGCCACACTGTTAAAAATTATAAATGTTAACCATTAACTGAAATTTGACTAAGGATTAAATAATATATTTGCCTTAAAACTTTTTCTTTAAAAGAGCTGGGTACCTTGAACTTTTGTTTGGAGCTTGTTTACTCTAAAAGTTTTAAACAGAGAGTAATTTTGCTCTACCTTCTTCTTCATTATCCTCCTACTCTTCTTCCTCCTGCTCTTTCTCTACTAGCAAGCTCCCACATTACTATAAATTGGAGTCCAAATCTCACATCTAGCTTGACACTTTCATCCTCAGAAATGGTCACTCAAACCCACGACATCACTGCTCTGTCCATCGAAGGCAAATTCAACATTCTTAACTTCCCCTAGATTGCCTTTATTTTCCCTTGATAATTGCCACATGCTCCCCACGTAACATCTAAGCTAATGCTTTTGCTACCATCATCATAATCAATTTTGATGTTGTGAAGCCCTTAAAAGAGTCCGAGTTAAGGTCGGAGTCCACGGAATCATCATAGTTGAGTGAGGTAATGGAATTGTTGAATATAGAAAAGGAGAGCTTCCATATTAAGTTCCAAGTATAGATATAGGTTCGGATGATTTGAAACTGCTTGCTATTCATGGAGTTATTCTTGTTGTTATTATTAATGTTAACGGAGGTGTTCTTACTATCTATGTAGTTTTTTTTTTAAATGCCGCATGGCTACATATGGCAATTAAAGTCAAAGTAATAGTCAATACTGACAACAAGGCAAAATTACTCACTTTTTAAAACTCTTAGAGTAAACAAATTCCAAATAAAAGTTTAGAGTATCTAGCATCTTTGAAGAAAAAATTTCAAGACAAATATGCTATTTAACTCTTAGTCAAACTTCAATTAACATTCAATGTTTGTAATTTCTAACAATAGGGCATAAATGCTCTTTTTTTTTTAAGTTCAAACAAAAATGCTCCAAAAATATGTTTATGGTGCCAAGTGCTTCTGACAAAAAGTTTTAGGATATTTTTGCCCTTTAATCCTATATTAAAATCCTAAACTCTTATTTAAAGGACTTTAACTTTTTTCTACAAGGACAACGTCAATTAATTCATACTTTTTTAAAAAAATGACTGAATTTCATTAATGAAAAAATTATTGTACATAATTTTTTTATAAAAAGTAATATAAGAACTAAAACTATACTTCTTCTTCTAAAAAAATGTTAAAAAAAAGGCATTTTGGGTCTTTTAATACATGCTTAACAAAGTTTTTTCCAAAAATGCTCTTAATTAGGAGTGTATTCCCTTGAAACCACAATATAAGTCATTTTCTAGAAATATTTTCTTATCCAAAATATAAGCATTGAGTAACCTTTATAATTATTTTTTGAACTATATACTACTTTATTTATTACTTTTTTTGGGAAAAAATGACACATTAAAATTTTAATTATCATTATCAAGGCACTTATATAAAATATTTAATGAAGGTAAAATTAAAAAAAATGTAAATCTTTTTCAAAAAATGAAAGTTGCAACTAGAACATGTAATTCGGGATAATTGATCTTCTTTGGGTCGGATTTAATTCTAACTGGGCTTATTTGGATGAGCTTACATTATCTTACTCTCTTAAAAAAGCACATATAGCCAAGTTTGATAACCATAACTTTTTTTTAGCCTGATTTGGGTTGGCCCATCACGTTTGACTAAAATTACCAATTCTATATATATAAAGAGATGAAAATTTCAACAATAGGACTTATTTAAGTTGGGCTCAATTTAGGCGAGCTTAAAGTATTCTACCCTCTTAAAAAACTCATATAGTCAAGCTCAACCCTAACTTTTTTTCTGTTAGGTTCAGGTTTGACTCGTTGAAATTGGCCAAAATTACCAACTCTATATATATCTAGAGTTGAAAATTCCAGCAATCAGGCTCAATTTGGGCCGAGCTTATTCGAATCAAGTTTAAAGTATTCTACCCTCTTAAAAAAACCCATATAGTCAAATCCAACCCTAAAATTTTTCAAGCGAGTTCTGGTTTGGCCTGAATTATCAAATCTAATGGCAATTAACATCATTTAGAACCATAAATTACTTACTAATACCCTAACTTTTTTAAAGTATTCTACCTTCTTAAAAAAGTTCATATAACCAAATTCAACCCTATTTTTTTTAGATAAGTTTTAGTTTGACCCGAATTATCAAATCTAATGGCAACTAACATTATTTAGAACCATAAATTAATTACTAATATCCTATATTTTGATTTGGAAAAAGTAATTCAAGGATGTGAGAGCCCATAGGCAAGTAGAAGAAATTGCCTGGGGCATCAAAAAAAAGTCTTGAATACCCCTAATATGTATAAATTAAATTAAATAGATGTATTTGTAGTTTTGTACCATTATGCAGTAAATTTCGAATAAAAAAAAAAGTAAAGCCTCGCTTTATTCTTGTTATAGACATTTCACATCTTCAAAATAATATTTAATTATTGAGTTGGCGGAAATCTGATCATTAAATATTATTTATTCTCTTTCTATAATTTTCATTCTCACATCATCATCTCTAACTTATTCTCACTTTGCATCTCCACTCGTTCACTTTTTCCCTTTTTCTTGTTTCTATTTTAAAGCTTAATGAAGGCATTGGTGATCACACACTTTTTTTTTTTAAACACTTTTGAATTCAACCAAAGCACTGAAGCATATACCTAGCCTTTGTGTTTTGGTACTATTTGCTATTAGGTGTGTTTGTTCTTATTTTAATCCAAACTTTACTTTTTAAAATAAAACTACTAAGTATTTAATTTTTTTTAATTATTTGTAGGGTTAAAAAATGTCAAACGGAAAGCATAAGGATCAATAACTTATTACACGCTAGTTCGTTTTACCCATTTTGCCGCTTCAAAGTCCCTTAACACGGCCATGAAATAATTAATAAATTTTTTTAATTAAGACATTCTATTGAAAAAAAGAAGATAAACAAGACAAATGTGTGATTTAATTAAAAATGTTTTATAATATTCAATAAATTTGAATCTATCACCTCGCTGGTAAGGAGCAAGTGTTTTGCGCCATTAACCGATAAGACCCAAATGTGAAATGTTTTTAGCCACTGATTTATGTATTTTTTATTTTATTGTTTAACATTGTTAAAAAAGAAAAGAAAAGAAAATCTGATTACATACTGTAGATAATTTGGATGAGAGAATATTCGGAGAAACGAAAACAGAGTGAAAGCAACGACCAAACCGGCCCTATAAATATATAAGCTTGGCATGCGATTCTTGCCTCTTCCAAGCCTGCCCTCCCGCAACCTCTACCAGACCACCACCGACCCTCTCCATCACGGACAACAAAATCAGAGGAAGTTTCAGGCGAAAAATGTGGTTCGTCTTCATCTACGACGAGGAAGAGAAAGAGCTTGGACGGCAAAAGGCCCCTGGCTCTTGCCCTTACTGCTCCGGCAAGGTCGAAGCCGTCGACGTCGAGATTCAGTGGCGGCTCTGTTTCTTGCCCATGTGCTTCAAGATCAAACGCAAGTATTTTTGCACTCTCTGTTCCAAACGCTTAGAACTCTTTTACTAGCCGCCGGGGAATCTAAACTAATCTGGATTTTTCTGAAAGCTTCTACAACAACATCAACAGTAACAAGATCTACTTCTTGATGTGTATATGAGTAGGGATTCCGAAGTTATATTAGAGTTTGCCTCTTTTTCTTTCTTTGTTTTTTATTTTGACTGCCGTTGAGATACTCTGTCTCGATCGTTGCTCATCGATTGATTGAAGATGCAGGACCTTTCGATTTTCTCTCTCTATTTTCTTCCCCTGCTTAAATCCTTTTGTCTCTTGTAACTGTAATTAGACTCAAGTTTTGTCGATGGCCACTACTAGAAGCATATGAAAGGAAAAAAAAAAAAAGCTTATTCTCTGTTCTTCTGTGCAACGCCTCCGATTCGAAATGGAGATTTGTCTAAAACATGAATTCCAGCATCAATCTGAGAAACGAAACGGCATTGAACAGCATGATTAATTATTTATTCATTCACCGCTGGTTAAAACTAATTCTTATTATTTAATCTCAGATATATCCTCCTTGATTAGTATAAAATTCATTAAAAAATATAAAATAGCAGCGGCAGATCTAAAATTCAAATTGACGACATCACATGCGTCATTTAGCTAATTAGCTTCAATCATTCACAAACTCGGTCAGGACTCTGGTTCGGTTGAGTACTTGAGTTTCTCTCCTTTCCTCCTTCCTTCCTTTTTTTATTTTATTTTATTTTATTTTATTTTCCTCGCTGACATCAGAACCGCCAGGGCAGAGAGAGTCCATTTAACTTTCCTTTAACTGTTCTTTTTTTATCAACCATAATTCGGTCCTTAGAACAGAAAATCGGACCTTGATTAGTGGTCAAGAAAAAAAGCATTTATTATCATCGGATCCCATCAATCAATTTCCCAATTTCCATCGTGTCCCTCACTCCGTTGTGATTCCTAGACATGATGTAGTTACCACCAATTAGCAACTTGTAGTGAAGTTTAAGTAAATTATTGGAATTAACTTTAGTGATGATCAGCTCGTTGTGGATCCCAAATAGGTGGATTGGAAATTTGCCAGGTTTTCTTATCTCATACAGTGGTTAGTGGTAATTAGTTTATAGCAGGGGAAAAAACTTATGTTATTTGAATAAGATTGGGAGTTTAAATCTTATAAACAAAAAAAAAATCATAGAAACTAAATCATTATAGTTGCAAGGGAAAAAAAAAAAAGAGCAACTTTTTTCCACTGCAAGTTTTTCAATGTGAAAATGGTTTTATTTCAAAAGTTGTAAAAATCTGTTTCTAATAGGCTTCCAAACACAGGCTTAATATTGCATAAAATGTGGATTCTTTCATTTTTGTTTCTTCCTCGTAGATTAGAAAGGGCGTATATAGAAACACAGAAAAATGTATAGAAAAGCTAAAGGCATGAGAGGAAAGAAAATAAATTATATAATTGCCCGATCTGCATAATTCCAAACATTCGATTTTAATTAGTACGAGAGAACACCCTAGCTAGCTCAGAAATTGGACTTGTCAAACTAATAAGTTTGAAGCCAAAACGAAACAGGTAAATTCAGGACTGTATTTTTCCTCATGCAACAGCAGGGCGGGACCACATTTCCATGAATAAGATTTGTGTAGCTGCACATGACTGGGGAAAGAAAAGGGATGGAAAGGACGGAATGTAAAAAGACGGATTTATTTATTGCTAATTGAGTTACTTATATTTAATAAAATAGAAAGTAACAAAATCATATATCATTCATGAAACAAATTAAAAATTGAGAGCCAGTGAAGTGGAGAAAGAATACTGCATAGGATTTTGGAAGTGTTGAAATTTCAATTGCGACAACAGTTGACACATGCAGGTGGGGTTGAGTACTTAATCCTGGTGGGCCATGTAGATCGCGCGTCTAAGAAGCTTTTGGCATAGCATTTGGAGGATTAAAATGCCTCCCAAAGTAATTCACTTTCATGTGGAGAGCAGCTACTGAGGCATGGACAACTAATTAAGGAAGCTTTACACAGAACAAAATGCCTCGCCAATCGTGTAAGTGACATCTGGAGCACGTAGATAGAAAGTAGGAACAATAAAACATGCCATGTTCCTTTGCTCTTGGGGAGTTCAGTGTTGGTATGGCTCTTCATTAGATCAAAAACTTGATGACATGGGAATGCACTGGTCCGACAAGTGGTTGGGGGTGGCCTTATTTGGTGAAAATTGTTGGGGGATTTAGTTGGAAGGTAGGTGACGTTGAAATGCTTAGAAATGTTTTAGTGGGATGAAGGTGACTGTGGAGACTGATTGTCAAGATTTGAACTGCAGAATGAAGAGTTTGGATGAGAAGGGTTGTGAGTGGGGATTTATAGATGCTACGCAGAAGCTCTTCGTGTTATGGAGGTACGCGCAAGGTTGTTCCTTGTCTTTGGTATCTTGCAAAGGCGATGCAATTGAAGTGATTAGGGGCATGCATAAGAAGTGGCATTGCCTAAGTTGTTTCTTACTTTTGTTTATTGTCATTTGGAATATAGGTTGCTTTTTAGGTTCTATTAAAAAAAACATAATTTTGGATCCTGTATTTTATTTGAGTTTTATTATGAACTTTTACACTTTTTTTTCAATATTTCATGTCTTTATATTTTTATTTTTAAATATTCTAGGTCTTTTAATTTTTACTTCTATATATGATTGCTTAGATAGGTTGCATGGTAAGATTTAAAGGCTTTCCTACATGATATTCCTCCTATATCTACCTATAAGGTATATTCCTTCCATCCCATATATAAGAAGTCTTCTAAAATTTTTTTTATCCCTAAATATAAAAGGTTGGTAGCATATTTTTTAATGAATAGATCATTATACCCTTATTAAATTGAAAAGAGAAAAAGATAAGTACTCTTATTAATTTACTTTAAAAAAATATTTATTTTTTATTTATAATAATTAAAGGCAAAATAGAATGTTGCTGTGCTTTTAATTAAAAAATTAAGTTTTATTAATTTGCGTAATTTAATTAAAAATATCTTATATACAAGAATAAAGTGATTATTTAATTACCTCACTGAAATAAAAAAAAGGTGGTTACATCATTAACTTTGTCTAAGAATAAAATAAACTTTTAATTTTACTCTTGTTTAAATGAAAATTTTTCAAATTTATATGATATTATTTCTTGTAACTAATGAGTTTAGATATAGATAATATTAAAAAAATATAATTAATACTCTTTCAAGTACTTATATTAATACTAAAAAATTATTTTAAAAGACGATGTCTTATAATAAGAACCAAAAAAAGTATTATTTTGCTAAAAAAGGTTACCATATGGAAAGAAAATAAAAAAGAGTTCATTTCATAAAAAATATATATATTTATTATTTTTATCAATATATATATGTATGTATGTATTTGATAAAATTTATAAAAATTACATTATTAGTCAATCATTTTAAATTGAATAAGACTTGTATGGCTTGAGAGTAGAACTCAGTTTTACTCCTCCCCGTGTCCGTTAGTTCACAAAATACTTTTTTCACTTTATATTTGTAAGCTACTTTTAACATATTTTATTAAAATTAAATAAAATTTTAAAATTTATTAACTTTATTTAAAAATTTAATAATTTATTAACTTTATCCCTATTAAATATATATATATACACACACACTTTAACAATACATTCTTTCCAAATCATAATATAAAATATTTTTTAAAAATTTTTCCTAATCCAAAATATAGGGTATTGTATAACTTTTATATTTATTTTTCAACTATAACTCTACTTCATTTATTACTATTTTTAAAAAGAATTATGAATTGAAATTTTAATTGCTACTATCAAAACTCTTATATAAAGTATTTAATAAGTGTACAAATAAAAAGATGTGACTATTTTTAAGAATTTAATATTTTAATTAACATTATTTCTAAGTCATGAATTAGTTAATTATGTCTTATATTGTAGTTAGGAGGGAGCATTTTCTCCCACAACATTGAATGAAAGACAAATGAGAAATTTATAATAAAAATTTAATAAATTAATTTATAAGTATGATTAAATTTTTTTTACTTTATAAATAAGACAAAATGAGTATAAAAAAACTAACTTTTTTAGTACCAATAATTTTATTTTGTTAGTTCGATGCCTCGCAAAGTCATTCAACTGAGTGACATCTTAATTAATTAATAATAACAAATATAGCAAAATGTAGTAATTTTACCACCGGCTTTCTCCAATTCCTTGCATCCGGACTCTGAATAAGAATTCGACACCTCGCTTCAGTCTATTGTTGTAAACGTGGACGCAGGCAGTAATTTATTGGCATGACAGTGGCTTTGATATTATTCATTGACTTGACATACGACAGTTGAGAATTTAATTGATCCTCGCATCCGTTGCCAGGTGCCCTACATAAACTAAATTTATTGGACTGCATTTAATATATTGACAGAAAGACCTTTAAGCCAGTTTTAAGAAAATTTATCTAAATAATAATCTATCAATTTTATATTAAATATTATGTTAAAATATATATTCTTTTCATTTAAATATATTTTTTATTTAAAAATATAAAAATATTTTTAATTGAATTTTACCTTTTAATAAAATAATTACTTATTTTTTAATATTTATTTTTATTAAATATCCTATAATAAATATAAATTCATCATTAATATAGATATTTTTAAAAAAAGATAATAATTATACCTTAAAAGATTAAAAATGTCTTATATTTTTTAACATTTAAGTCTTTAAAAAATATCTTACATTTTTTAACAGAGAGAGTATGTGTGTGGAGGTTGTGTTTGAAACTATTTTTATTTTATTATTTTTAAAAATTATGTTTTATAAAATATATTTTGAAAAAAATTATGAAAACATGTATTTTTTACATTATTTCTTTTTTTAAATAATAATTTCAAACAATTAAAATATATTTTTATTTTTTCTATTATTGAGAATAATATTTATTTTTTCAAAACTATTTCTAAAAACACATTACTAATATTTTTTATTTTTTTGCATTAAAAAAACTGTTTTTAAAAAAGTTGTCAAATAAATTCAACCATTAAAAAGTTAAACCTTGTATTTATTTTTGTTTTAAGATTTTCTCAAAAATTTAACTAGGTTTAACTTTTAACCATAACAAAGACAATATTCAATGAAAAATAGACAAGACTTTGTGATTGATGGACCATGTAATTATTTTATTTTTATTTTTAACGGACGAATGAGATTTTTTTTTTTTGTTTTTACGTGCAGGGCAATGCGATGTCCATCCGAGAGTTTTTTTTCTTGCTTAAAAAAAATTACACGTGCGTGATAGATTTTTTAATCTTATTTATAATGCATCATGTTATTGATTTTTGAAAAAGTGACAAATT